TTTCACAAGATCCTCAAGTAACTCCTTCTGAGTGGCAAGGATGCTAGAGGCTGTGCCAGAGGACTTCCTGCTCAACGCATCTGCTACCTTGTTAGCCTTGCCCGGATGGTAGCTAATGGTCAAGTTGTAGTCCTTTAAAAGTTCAAGCCATCGCCTCTGCCTCATATTAAGCTCCTTTTGAGTGAAAATATACTTAAGGCTCTTGTGATCAGTGGAGATTTCACAAGTCTCACCATACAGATAATGCCTCCAGATCTTGAGTGCAAATACCACGACTGCCAACTCCAGATCATGGGTAGGGTAATTTTCTTCATAAGGCTTTAACTGCCGAGAAGCATATGCAATAACCCTATCTTTTTGCATCAAGACACATCCCAAACCCTTTTTAGAGGCATCATTATATATAGTGAATTTTTCCCCATTAATTGGAAGTGCAAGTACAGGAGCAGTGATCAACTTCTCCTTCAAGGTCAAAAAGCTCTTCTCACACTCTGGGGTCCACTCAAACTTGGTGTCCTTTCTGATAAGACGAGTCATGGGCAGAGAAATTCTAGAGAAATCCCCCACAAATCGGCGGTAATAACCAGCCAATCCCAGAAATCTACGGATTTCTACAACACTATTCAGCCTTTTCCAATCAACCACGGCCTCAATTTTCTGGGGGTCAACAGAGATTCCATCCTTAGTCACCACGTGACCTAGGAATGCAACATTGTCTAGCCAAAATTCACACTTCTTGAATTTAGCAAACAGCCTCTCCCTTCTCAACGTCTCGAGGACTGTCCTCAAGTGCTTCTCATGAAGAGCATAGCTAGAAGAGTAGACCAAAATGTCGCAATAAAGACAACCACAAACTGGTCTAGGTACTTGCTAAACACCCGATTCATCAAATCCATAAATCTGGAAGGGGCATTCGTCAAGCCAAATGGCATGACTATGAACTCATAATGACCATAACGGGTGCGAAAGGCAGTCTTTGGCACATCATCCGATTTAATCTTCAACTGGTGGTAGCCAGATCGAAGATCAATCTTGGAAAATACCTGGGCACCCTTGAGCTGGTCAAACAAGTCATCAATTCTAGGAAGGGGATACCGGTTCTTCATAGTCACCTTATTCAATTCCCGGTAATCAATGCATAGCCTCATGCTCCCATCCTTCTTCTTGACAAACAACACTGGAGCTCCCCAAGGTGATACACTAGGGCGTGTAAACCCTTTCTCAAGGAGTTCCTCCAGCTGGACCTTTAACTCCTTCAATTCTGCAGGAGCCATACGGTATAGTGCTTTGGAAACGGGTCCGGTGCCAGGAACAAGGTCAATGGCAAATTCAACCTCTCTATCCGGAGGTAAACTTGGGAGATCCTCCGGAAATACATCCGGAAACTCACGCACCACCGGTATGTCTTCTAGTCTCGATGTCACACTACTAGCATCAGTAACGGAGACTAGGAAACCTTGGCAACCATTTACAAGAT